AAACTTTATAGGAACTTCTTATTTGATTTTTTCATGATCTACAGGGCTTTTCACGGTAACCGTCCATTAGAAGTATCTCAATAAAGAAAAGACTTAAAAATCTGAAATTTTGGTTATAGTATTTTTTGGATAATATGAATTGATCTAAAATATTTTCATTTTGATTACACTTCCGGTTATACCGGAACTTGACACCAACTTCGTTATTTTATATGAAAAGTGTCAGTTTTAACTTCATTTTTGAATTCTATGGTCTTTTTTAACTAGACTTTGATAATAACACCATATGTCAAAAATGCACCATTTTTAAGATATTACAATTTTTTCAATATTTTTTGGAAAAACAGACGAATGTATTTTCTGTGATATCTCTTTTAATAACGCAGCTAGAAGCTTGAAATTAAGTATCGATGATGTCCAGACATACTACTAAATGAAACTAAACTGTATTTTCAGAATCCATGTACAGGGCATTTTATTAAATAAGGTATGAATTTTATTTTTTTTTAGTTATCTAGTTGGCCATTTGATGACCTTATGTCAATGCGACATTTATGTATTTTTGAAAAATTCTACGCTAAATTTAAGAGTACTTTTGTCTAAAACATTTAAAAAAAAATGCATACTTTTTGAAATATGGAATCGAAATGCCTTAAAAAACTGCATTGGTCACTGTTAAAAAATACAGGGTGGTCCATTTGAAATAACAAAGTTATGACCACTTTAATTTGGCCAAGTTTGTCAAACAATTTTAAACGCCCTGTACATGGATTCTTAAAATACAGTTTAGTTTCATTTAGTAGAATGTCTGGACATCATCGATACTCAATTTCAAGCTTCTAGCTGCATTATTAACAGAGATATCACAGAAAATACATTCGTCTGTTTTTCCAAAAAAATTTCGAAAAAATTGTAATATCTCAAAAATGGTGCATTTTTGGCATATGGTGTTATTATCAAAGTCTAGTTAAAAAAGACCATAGAATTTAAAAATGAAGTTAAAAATGGCACTTTCCTTATAAAATAACGAAGTTGGTATCAACTTCCGGTATAACCGGAAGTGTAATCAAAATGAAAATATTTTAGATCAATTCAAATTATCCAAAAAATACTATAACCAAAATTTCAGATTTTTAAGTCTTTTCATTATTGAGATACTTCTAATGGACGGTTACCGTGAAAAGCCCTGTATATGGATCCGAGGGATTTCCCACACTTTCAGGGACACCCTGTATACCAAATTTTATTTAATTCGGATAACTACTTTCCAATATACAATCAAATTTAAGCTCGTCGTGACGTACCCTGTATACCCCACTCTGCCCTAAATTATTAAGTAAGTAAAAACCATAAACAATTCAACATCTAGCTCCTCCGGATCGATTTATTATTTATTTTTTTTTTTCGAAGAAATTGCGCCAGCTTTCGACCTTCATCTAATCGATCAATCAAAGAAGGAAATGTTAGGTAGAGTGGAACAAGCTCGTTCGCTCGTTCGATCGATCGACCTTCACGGACATTTTTCCAAAATGGATTCGTCATAGCGGAAATTTCGAATTTCTGCAATCTCTCCGTGTCACTACCTAGGTAAATTTAATATACCCAATCGACAAACGGGCCGGAAAATTTATGCAAGAAAATTGTGGCAATAAATTGTCCTAAAGGTATAGAATATCTATGCCAAATATCATAAAAATATACTGAGTGATTCAAAAGTTATAGGTGTCGAAAGAAATGGGCCAAATTCAAAAAACACCCTGTAACGCGGTTATAAGAGGCGCAAGACCCATATTATATGGGTTTTTTGTAATCCCCTGGGTGACCTCTATATAGGGTTAAAATATTGCCCTTTCCCAATGAAACACCCTGTATATCATATTTTCAAAAATTGACCAAAAAATTGACCAAAATTTAAACGTTAAAATGTACATTATGAGATTTTTGGTCCATGTAAAATGTAATTGAAGGGATTTTAATTATTTTTTCATTAATAAAACCAGGTTTACTTAACACTTTCATGGAAATTCCTGAAATAGACCTATTGAACTTGAATTAACATTCACATAAACCAATAAAAATTACAATTACAGATCCGCACTTAATAGAATTAAAATGATTTCAATTCATTTAATAATTAATCATTAATTAATCAATTTTTACATTTCTACATGAGAAAATTGAATGAGATGAGTGAGATGAAAATTCACCATGTATGGGACTTCTGGTAATACCGGAAGTAGATGTCAACTTCGTTATTTCAAATGGAATGTACCCTTTTTGACTTCGTTTTTGGATTCTTTGGCTCTTTTTAATTCGATTTTGATAATAACACCATATGTCAAATTCCACATTTTTTTGATATTTTTTGGAAAAAACGGTCAAATATATTTTCTATGATACCTTTATTAATAACGCATTAATAATACACCTAGAGGTTTGAAATGACATTAGTATTTTGAGGCATTAGGTATTTTCAAGCCCTTTCGATCTATGAGAATATACTTTTTTATTTGTAATGTTACGAAAAAAAGTTATTCGTATACGAGGTTTGTCAAAAATTATGAATTTGATGGAAGAGTAAAGTACCTTTATTTGTTTTATAATATCGATAACTTTAATTATGTAAAGTTGTTCGAAATTATAGATAAATAACTAAAACAGATGAAACTGTTAATACTGAAAAAAAAACTGAAAAATTTTTGGGTACCAACATAGGTCACAGTCTAACAGAAAATAGAGGTAAAACATTGCATGTTACTAAGCTATTTTTTACAATTTATTTTTTTTCATGTCCTTGTTAATCTTTATGTAATCGTCTTAATACTAAAAATTAATGGTATTTACATTATTAAAAATACACCCACAACATACAGGGTGTGTCATGACGAGCTTAAACTATCTGTATATTGAAAACTACTTATCCCATTTTAATAAAATTTGCTATAAATGTGTTATGCAATAAGACGAACCCCTTAAAAATATTTTGGCAGTCGTATCACTATTTTAAATGGAACACCCAGTATATTAATATATTTTCGAAATCTACGTAAAATTTTAGGGTACTTTTGTCTAAAACATTTTTTCCAAAAATGCACAGTTTTTGAGTAATTTTTTTTTTATTTTGCAGGGATGCAACATCCATTATGAAATAATATAACGTGAAATTATGAAACCCAGATTATTTTTGACGACGGATGTCAGAGCCACCTAGATTTTAAATTATTTTCTTTATTTTTGGGTATTACAGTAGAAAATACATTATTCTGTTGAGTATTGTTTATTTATTACGGATTTAAGTTCATTGCTAAAATATTTCAAAATAACAATAATAAAAATTTGAGGTGTGCTGACTTGTTAAATAAAATAAAAGTTGATGTGTTTCACAACTAAAATTTGCAAAATTTCAGCTGAATTTGAAGTAGTCAAAATATTTGTATTAATCTTTTGCAATTTGTGATCACCCTGTACATCTAATGTCAAACCTAAATATTATTATTTTCGAAAGCAGAGATTTTCATAAAGAATAACGTTCATTATTTTCGTCATTTCTATGAGTTGAACAAAGACAGATTTAAAAAAAAAAACAGTTGGGGTTATTATGTTGTATATAAAGATGACTTTAGCACGTTAATGTCCAAAAATCAGAACTTTAATTTAAATGATAGTTTAGGCTTTAAGAATCGTTTTAAGAAGAATCGATTTAAGATTACGTTTATTAAAGGATCCTTTAGAATTGAAACCTCCTTTATGTTTCATTATGAAATCGGCCATTACTGTTTTTTTGATGTTTTTTCTCCTGTTAAGCGTGACTCACCCTGTATAGGTATTACCTAAATATACCCTACTCTCCCCTACTTCTAATCCATCGAAATCTTCTTATAATTACTTAAAAACCATACCCTACTCTCTCCTACTTCCAATCTACCTACAATTTCTTACAAATCATTTTACTAACCTTCTCAAGGTTAGATCATTATAATTAGTACCTCGAGTGAATAGAGCGAAAAAACACAAACTTTTCGAAAAAGTCCCCGACCGCAAGTCGCAATAGAAGAAAACAAAAAAAATATATCTAAACAGAAACCTCTTACAACATAGGCGTATTTTTTCCTCCAACTAGAACTAGACCTTCTCAAAACTTCGAAAAAAACGAAGAAACCGCCGCGTTGTCTTCGATTTCTTCCCTTTAAATCTTCTGCACACCCTCAACACCTACCCACTTCTCCAATTTATTTAACTCCTAATTCACAAATCCACCTCAAGCATCCATCTTCACTCACTGAATCAAAACCCCATCGAAAAAATACGAAGAAACTTGCGCGATTTCTTCCACCTAAATCTTCTCCAAGCCTTTAACACCTACCCACTTCTCCAATTTATTTAACTACTAACTCAAAAATCCATCTTAAGCATCCATCTTCATTTACTCCATTGAAACTCCATCAGCGAAAAAAAGAAGAAAACGCCGCAATTTCTTCGATTTCTTCCCTTTAAATCTTCTCTATGCTCTCAACGCCTACCCATATCCCCAATTTCAATAACTCCCGACTCACAAATTTACCTCACACATCCATCTTCATTTACTCAATCGAATCTCCTTTGAAAAAACGAAAAAAACCCACGATTTCTTCAATCTAAATCTTCTCCAATCCCTCACTATTTACCCACTTCCCCAGTTTCTTCAAGTCCAACTCGCAAATTTCCCTCAAACATACACCTTCATTTATTCAATCGAAACTCCAACGAAAAAAACGAAGAAAACCCCGCGAATTCTTCTCTTTAAAGCTCTCAACACCTACCCACATTTCCAATTTCAATAACTCCCGACTCACAAATCCACCTCAAGCATCCATCTTCATTTACTCAACCGAAAATAAAAATCGAAGAAACCCCCCGCGATTTCTTCTATCCCAGTTGCGCCAATGGAACTCGTTCAATTCCAATCAACCGAGACAACGTTTCTTCACCCAGTCATCTACTATAAATATCTAATTAAACACACAAAACGGCTCAGTTTCTTCCACTCTCCACGATGATTCGCTTGTTGCTCGTGCTCGTTTCTTCAGTTTCTTCAATTTCTTCGTTCCCCTCGGGCAGCCCGCTGTACCAGTACAAGTACCAAACAGAGGACGTGCTGAAAACGGCCGCTTCTAACGTACCCCTTAGGGGGTACCACGTGATGGAGGGCGGGTACTACCCTTCCGAAGGGCGAGGGTACATCGCACCTTCACCCCAATACACGTAAGATCCTCTTCATCAATTTATTTAAGAAGAATAACTCGTAACTTCGATTCCAGGGGGCAGTTTTTGGCGCCATTGGGGCACCAGTTCCTCCTTCCCCAGTACTCCCTTGGGGGTTTCTTAGGGGGAGGAACAGGATTGGCGCAAGGGGGATTAGTTCAAGGAGGGTTGGGGCAAGGCGGTTTAGGGCACTACCCACAAGTGGGGCAACTGGGAGGCGCTGTGGGTCACTACCCGCATAAAATCGGCGGTGAGGAAATAAGTAAAGAAGAATTCAGCGGGGGAAAGAAGAATTTGAATGAGGAGAAGTACGAAAGAAGCGAAGGGAAGAAAGGCGAAGAATCGTCCGAAGGTAAGGCGGGTTATGCGAAAGGAGAAGCCGCGGCGAAGGATGTGCAAGGAGAAGCCGGTTACTATAGCAACGCGGACGGGGAGAAGAAGATCGTTGAAGATGGTAAAGAGTACCAAGGAGGGCAGAAGTATCAGAAAGAAGGTTAGAATACGTTTATTTTCATAGTATACACTTATGTGCAAATTTAGCATTAGTCTCATTAAAAGAAGAATGAAGAATAGTACTGGGGGATTGCAAATTTCTCACTCTAAAATAGAAGAAGAAATACAAATCGTATTTTCTCAAATTGTAATTTTTATGTATTTTATATTCTATAATAAGTATGCTTTCTTCAATTTTGTCAATTTCTTGAAGAAAACTTAATTTACATATTTTTAATTTACCTCTACTAAAATATGAAGAGCAAATCTTTTAATTTTTCGAAATTTCCATGTTTGTTCAAAAAGGATTCTGATAGCGGGTTTAAAGCTGTTTTAAAGTTATTTTGAAGCGATTTTATAGCGGTTTTTGAGCGGTTTTGAAGCAATTTTAGAGCGGATTTGACGCGATTTTATAGCGGGTTTGAAGCGATTTTATACCGGGTTTTGAGCGACTTAGAAGTCGTTTTAAAGTCGTTTTAAAGTTATTTTGAAGCGATTTTAGAACGTGATTGTAGCGAATTTAGAGCGATTTTATAGCGGTTTTTGAGCGGGTTTGATGCCGTTTTAAAGTTATTTTGAAGCAATTTTAGAGAGGATGTGTTTTAGACGGTTTTAAAGCGATATTAGAGAGGTATAGAAGCGGTTTTGAAACATTTTTAAAGCGTCTTTAACTATTTTTAGGCAATTTAAGAGCGGTTTTAAGCAGTATTGACACAATTTTGAATCAATTTTAGAGCGGTTTTGAAGCAATTTTATAGCTATTTTTTTAAACTATTTTAAAGCTATTTTGAAGATATTTATAGCTGTTTTAGAACGTTTAGAACGTTTTTTTTTTTGTTTTTTATGGTTTAGAACCATTTTAGAGCGGGGTTGAACCAATTTTAGAGCATGTTTGAAGCGATTTTATATCGATTTTTAAAGCCCTTTTAAAGTTATTTTAAAGCAATTTTAGAGCGTGTTTGTTGCGATTTTACAACGATTTTATAGCGGTTTTTAAGCGGTTTTTAAGCCGTTGTAAAGCTTTTTTAAAGAATTTTTAGAGAAGATGTGAAGCGATTTTGGATTGTAGATTGTAGTGTTTTTAAAACGGTTTTAGAACGATTATGAAACGATTTTAGAGCGGGTTTGAAGCGATTTGTAGAGTTTTTAAAACAGTTTTAGAGCGAATTTTTAAAGAGACTTAAAGCAGATAGAGCAGTATTTGAACGATTTTAAAGCGTTTTTAACTATTTTTAAGCAATTTAGAGCGGTTTTAAGCAGTATTGACACAATTTTAATGCTATTTTGAAGATACTTATAGCAGTTTTAGAAGGATTTCTTTATTTTTTATGGTTTAGACCCATTTTATAGCAATTCTAGAGCGACTTTAAATCGATATAAGAGTTTTAAAGTGACTTTTAAGCTTCAATTAAATTTTAAGCGATTTATAAGCCTCTTTTTTATGAACGTCTCACTTCAAAATTACTCAAATATTTACCCTTTAAAGTTCGTACAAACTACCTAATAAACACCCTTTATTTTATGTATTTCACAGCATATTTCCAGATAAATAAGTACCTATATCGTTGTATTTTTTAACAGGTAAAAGTGGCGAAGAAGAAACTACGAAGAAAGGCCACAAAAAGGGACATAAGATAAAGAGTTTCAAGACGTCTCATCACAAAGATGAATCCGGCAAATCTGAAGAATATTATGATGAAGAGCACGATGAAGGAGGAAATACTGCTTTCAATGGACAAACTGGAAGTTTCGGGGAAAATGCCGCATCGAGCTTTAAAGGTAAAATTTATATGAAAGCTTAAAAACTTTATTTATTCATATAGTTACTCTAATTCTTCTTTACTCTTTCACTCCTTTTCTGCTTTTATACTTCCGTTCTCTTTTACTTCTTTTCTACTTTACTTCTTTACTCCTTTGCTCATTTGCATATTTGCATATTTGCACATTTGCTCATTTGCTCATTTGCTCATTTGCTCATTTGCTCATTTGCTCATTTGCTCATTTGCTCATTTGCTCATTTGCTCATTTGCTCATTTGCTCATTTGCTCATTTGCTCATTTGCTCATTTGCTCATTTGCTCATTTTCTCCTCTCCTCCTTTTTACCTCTACTCCTTTCTCCCTTCCCTTACAAAAAATTTGAACCATCTGAGCCCTTGAAAACCATTGAAATCTCCATTTTTTACCACTTAAGTACAATTAGAGCAATACATTATTATTCTAATTAAATTTCTTAGGTGGCAAAGAAGACTCGAAGTTCAATTCGGCCGAGGCGAAGAAAGAAGGACATTTCAAAAAGGAGCATTCGATAGGTAAAGCGGAAGGAGATGAAGGGAAATACGCCGAAAAGAAATTCGCCGGTAACGAAGCCACTTTTGCGCGTAAAAATGGAGCGGATGAGCAGAGCCTGCTGGGACACCAGGAGTCGAGCAAATTTATTAAGTCTCAGCCGTTTGTTATACCCTTTTATCAACCGTAAATTTTATTAAATTGGTTTTATTAGGTTTTTTATTGAATTGATTTTATTAAATTTATTTAATTACTTTGGTTTTATTAAATTGATTTCATTGGAGTGATTTTATTCGATTGATTTTGTTAAATTGGTTGCATTTAATTGATTTATTTGAATTGATTTTAATAAATTGAATTTATTATAATTGAGTTTATCTCTGCTGTTTAATGTTATGTAAATTTTCCTATTGTATAACTGCCATTTTTTGTTAAGTTTATTTTAATTTATTGTCGAATTTGTTTCTGCGATAGTTTCATTGAAAATGTTGCTGCTTCTGGTATATAAAAATAAAGTTTGTTTCGAAATTGGATTTTTAATTTTTTTTTTAATTTTTTATTTTTTAGACTAGATGCAAAAAAAAATAAAAAAAATATAAAAAAATCTGAAAAATGGTGAAAAAAATTAATGATTAACTATTTACAACAAACATTTATCAACGAATTGAACAAAATCAGCATTATACAGGGTGTCCAGAAAATAGATGTCAATAATTCGGGAGGTTGGTTTACATTGGAATCATTGGTTATAATTGGCCTTCAAGGTCACCAGATTTTACTCCCATGGATTATTAGGCCTGGGGTCATCTAAAATGGCAAATGTATTCTTGTGAAGTAAATACTAAGGATGATCTTATCAGAAGAATATAAGATGCTTGCAGTGAAATGAAGAACAACCCCGAAGTAATTAGAAAATTGTCGTAATTAAAAAAAATTGAAAAAAATCGAATAATTAATGGTTGATTAATAAATAAATTTGATTCATTTAAATTTTCTTAAGAACGGATCTGTAATAATGATTTTTATTGATTTTTGTGAATGTTATTTCAAATTCGTTCGGTTTATTAAAGGAACTTCCATGAAAAAGTTGAATAAACTTATTTTTAACAAAGAAAACTAAAATTTTTTGTACATTATGAGACTAAAATTCTCGTAATGTACAATTTAACATTAAAATGTTGGTATTAAAACGGCGTGTGCAAAAGTAAAAAGTTGATGATTGTATTCAGTTTTTTGTGATCTTTACAAATTTAAAATTCAATTTTTAAAAATTCAATGTACAGAGTTTTGTTTTATGGATAGTCAAACTTTAATAATTTTTTAAAGTCGGACCTGGATTTTGAATTTTTTAGTAAGTCGATAAATTGTTCAAAGGGTGTAGATTATCTATGCAAAATATGAAATAATTATACTGAGTGATTGAAAAGTTATAAGCCCTGAAAGAAATGGGCCAAATTCAATTATACTCGATTATAAGTAAATAGAGTATAAATAGCGTAAGACCCATACTATATGGGTTTTTTGATCCCCTGGGTGACCTCTATATAGGGTTAAAATCTTTCCGTTTCGGAATGAATCATCCTGTATAAATGTTGTTCATTTGAGTACTCATTTTTGATCTATGTGCTTTTAAAGTTTAGAATTTAAAACTTATTTTTACATTTTATTTCCAAATTATACAAGGGAATAATACAAAAATTTTGTGATTTATTACCTACACCTGTGTGCCTAATTTGGTGATTAAATTAATCCTACACTACTCTCTGGAAGACAGTTTTGTACAGATGTGAAAATTTGAAGACAGGTGTTTCAACACATGAGAAATCATAATATGATAAAAATAATTCAACAAAAGCCATTTCAAATAATAAATGGCCAGTGGCATTTCAGCTTCATATACAGGGTGGAAACGCCAAATGGAATAAATTCATTATTTCGGTTACTAGACATATTTAAAGAATATCCAGAAACACGTGAAATTTTAATTATAATTAGACATTCTTCAACGTCAAAATGTGAACCTTATCTTCAACCCCCTTCGAATGACAGTGACAACCCCTATTTTTTAAAATTGGCTTGTAATATATCGTTTGAAACGTCTCTTCATTTTCTCACCAAAAATGTTATTGTTTTTAAGTTTATTTCAAAAATTAACATTAAAAAAATAAAATATTATATCCTGTTTTTGCCTTAAAAATAAGAAAGTTTCTTTAAAAGGCATTAGCAAAATGTTTTTTTTTATTTCCACGGAATGCTTATTTCTTTTGTTCTCAACTTATAGTTCGAATAGAATCCAATAATTATTGAATGAATATTACTTAGCTTTGTGTTTCTAAATATCATACTTAAGGATTATTAATAAATTGATTATTTTTGTGGATGGAACAACGCTAATTAAAGTCTTTTATATTGGTAGTGCACCAAAAATTAACCATTTTCTTGATTTTTTTTTTTTAGATATATTTTAGGTTAGAATATCGAGATGCGGTTTTCACAGGCTTGTTTGGCAATTATTTGACTATTTTTCTCCAAAAGTCCAAAAGTTATATCGTTGCATTAAAATTTTTTGAGAAAATCTGTGTTTTCTAAAGTAATGTCTAAAAACGCCATCTTGCGGCCAAGCAAGCAGTTAAAATAATATCTTATATAGTGTAAATTCATACTGTAATACTGTAAAAAGAAAGCCCTTTTCAAAAATTTAATTTTTCTGAAAAACGGTTCTGCCGTAAAAGTTATTAACATTTATTTGTCAAAATATTTAAACCTCCCCCACCACTTTATTTTTAAAGATACAGTCAATAATATATAACAAAAAAAAAATAATCGAAATTATCTTAACTATCAAAATAAAACACATTTTCGATACCTTTATTTAGGAAAATTTAAAAAAAAATGACTTTTAAAAATCAAGATGGCAGATACTCCCCCTAGCGACAATTTTAGAGACCTAAAAATTATTACCAGCAATTTCTTTTCGCCGATTCAGTCATAAGATTTTTTACCGCAAGTCTCTATGACAATTAGTTTGTGAGATATGGTCGAGAGCCATCCTTATTTGGTCACCCTGTATATCGCTTTAAAAGGAGCATATTTTGAAGATAATATAAGAAATATTAATGATTATGAGGAATTTTGCCTTCTACTTCAAATTTCCGAGTACTTTTTTATCACAGTAGTACCAATAAATAGTCACGTGCACAGCACCCACAACGACCGAACATTTATTATATACAAAATGTACACATTTTTTTATAAAAATAATATATGTATATACTTATATAATATAATAATATAAATAATATAAGTTTCATTATTGAATATTGAAAAAAGTCGAATAAATAATAATACATACAGATATAATAATTTTTTTTTATTTTATAGGTACATTAAAAAGTATTTCTTAGATATATATTTTATGCTATAAATGAGATATCGAGGTGCGGTTTTCACAGGCGTATTTGACTATCATTTCACTACATTTTTATGGGATAAAAATCATATCATTCCATTTAAATTTTTAGAGAATTTTACAATTTTCTGCCATCAAATGAAAAAACGCACTGTAACAACATCACTAAAAATGGACAAAATGTATAATAGTTGTGAGGGTCTGGTGGAGCAATTAATGCTCTTTCCAATGAGACCAAGTTTGTTGAAATCTGTTGTGTCCTTTAGGAGTTACATATGTTTATCTTAAGAATAATAAGATCACCTTCCATTACTTTATTTTAATAGATACATCAAAAGGTGTTGAATAAAATTACTCCAATGAAGCTTATCTTTAAAATGCATACAGATTGCTCCATTTTTCATTGCAACATAAGCTATGGGTGCAACAAGGACGACTTCTATTAGACCCTTATAAAGGAAAAAGAAAGAGTGATATTGTGTCATTACAACTTTTCAATCTAACAACTGTTATTTTAATAATCTTTCTTTGTTCAACTCATAGAATTGACCATGTTGCAATCGCGAATGAAGCAAGATGTATATTTTGAAATTATGAATTTATTCCATTTAAGTACAAGTGAATTTAAGTATAAATCTTCAAGTGACAATGGCCAGGTGCTTTCAATTTGTCTCTGTTCAAACAATATAATTTAGCAACAAAATACCAAAAATTAAAAAATTCACAGCTCAATAACAAAAAAAAAATATTCAAAATCAGTGTACAGCAATATTATAATGTTCAAATTGTGCAATTTATTTATCTCCATAAATCATTGCACTATTCAAAGACATTACAACTAATGTTATAAATGTCTTTAAATATTAAAATTATTGTTATAAAAACAATACAGACAAGAAAATTTTAATTTAAAGAAGCTCTCAAAATGAGAAAAATAAACTGCTCCACAAAAGTTAAGGAAGTTCGCAAATTTTGCAATTATTTTAAAAGTTACAGACTTTTTTTTCAACAAATTTTCAAATATGCGAAATTAATTGTTTTCTCTCATATCTGAGTGGATTTTTTGTTCCTTCCTCTACAACTCATACTAAATTTGGCGAACAAAAAACCTGCAACTGTTAAATTAATCTCAATATTTGTGAACTTCCTTAACTTTTGTGGAGCAGTATATTTGAAACCCTACCATTTAATAATTGCAAGTGACATTTACTGAAAAATTATAACATAATTGAATTTGCAATTGAATTAATTGTATGATTTATTCACACTTAATATAGGTACAGGTCTACGAATTTACCATGGCACCTGAGATGCTCCACCCCCTAGATGCGCCGTAGATTCGTCCCTAAATTACGCTCCGCACTCATTCTGTTCAGACAGTCTTACGCTTAAACATCTAAGCACAGAACCGTATTAAGGGAGCGAAATTCCTAAAATTTTAGATTCGTGGCTCTGAAAAACCCATTTTCATTGTTATGTTATTTTCCTATAAATCCAATAATTCATTATTCCCCGTATAAGATTAATATTAAGATTTATTATTATATTTGATTGATATTTAATTAATCCGGTTTAAAATTGATGGGCTTGAATGCGAACGCAATAATTATTCTTAGTAAACTAATTTACCATCCATTATTTCTATACATTCAAAACATATTGAGATTTGCATTCAATAAAAGTAAGCTAATTGAATTTAATCTCTAATAAATAACGGTATTAAATAATTTTTTTAATTGCATTCGAAAATCCCAATTGCCCCTGAGTCCGTTTAATGCAAAGTGTCGA